CAGCAGCAGCAGCAGCAGCAGCAGCAACGCCCCGCTTCTTCAGCACGAGCGCGCCCACGCGTTTGCAGAAGCTCACGCGGCAGCCGTCGAGCTGCTGCCGAAGCATTCGTTTCTGCGAAGCGGAGAAGCAAGAGTGGCGGCTCGTGTGTCGCACAATGGTGAGCCTCCCGCTGCTGCTGCTGTTGCTGCTGCTGCTGCTGCTGCTGCTGCGGCGGCGGCGGCGACCAGTGGTCCTGACCAGTGGTTCTGAGGGCTCGCCGCGCAGACTGCAGCGTTCGGGGCCCCCCCGCAGTCGCTGAGGGACTTCGCGCGCTGCCTGGCGCTGCTGCTGAGCATCAGCAGCAGCAAACTGGGCTGCTGCCAAATGGACTCTGTGGTTTCGCTGCTGTCTTCCGGGGGCCGCTGGCAGCAGCAGCAGCGGGAAAGCTCGAAGTGGGGGAAGCACTTGGATCTTTTTGCTGCTCCGCGTGGGTTTCGAGCAGCAGCAAAGCTGCAGACACGGAAGCAGACGCTTAAGAGCACTTGTTCACATTTAAAAGCATTTATTTATTTATTTATTTATTTATTTATTTATTTCCACTTTTGCTTCGTCTTCGTCCGCAGAACTCCAGGAAACTTTTGCTTCGCAGCAGACGCAAACCAGCCGCCGCTCAGCAGCAAGTCTCGTGCTGCCGTCCAAACCCTTTTTCGAAGACTTCCGAGCAATTCATATTCTCTTTTTTGGCGAAGACGAGCGCCTGTTGGAGCAGCAGCTCGAGGTGAGTTTGGCCAAGTTGCTGCGCTTGCGGCCCCCCCCACCTGCTGCTGCTGCTGCTGCTGCTGCAGGCGCTGCTGCAGCGCGGGACGCCGTATGTGGCCTTCGACCTCGCGAGACACTCCGATGAGCTGCTGCTCCACGCCCAAGAGGTGCTGCTTCCGAAGTTAGGGTTTAGGGTTTGGCGCTGCGCGGGGCCGCAGCCCCGAACTAGGGTTTAGGGTTTAGGGTTTAGGGTTTAGGGTTTAGGGTTTGCGTCGAGCTGAGCCGTGCTGCTGCAGGGCGTGGCGCTGGTGAACCTCTCTTTGGCGACGGCGCGGCAGCAGCGGCGACTAGTGCGTTGTGAGTTTTCATTTTCATTTAAATTCTTTTTTTATTTTTCAATTCTTTTGCAATTTCAAAACTGCAACAGTGGCAGCAGCCACAGGTAAGAGGACTTGCTGCTGCTTCGCGCTGCTGCTCTCCAACTTCTGCTGCAACAGCTGCCAGGAAAGTTTCAATTTGGGGTAAAGTTCAAATTGGCCAAAGTGCTTTTTGCTGCTGCTCTCACAGCAGCTGCTGCAGCATATTTTGCATGCGGAGGAGGGCCGGCCTGGAAAGCTGGAGTGAGGCATTTCTTGTTTTGAATTTCAACAAGATTTCCTTTTCTATTTCGCGCTGCAGCGCAGCAGCAGCAACAGCAGCAGCAGCGCAGCGCCTGCTGCTGCTGCGGAGCTCCCCGCGGCGCTTTCCCAGGAGCTGCGCAGCAGCTTCAGCTTCTGCATCGGCGACTTCGGCTGTGCAGCAGAATTGCCGGTTCACTGCAGCACGCGCGAGCAGCAGCGCCAGCAGCAGCAGCTGCAGCAGCAGCAGCAGCAGGACAAGTGGATTGACTCCGTCTTGGCCTCGTCTGTTGCTGCGGCCCCCACGGATGCTCCCTACTGCAGAGGTCTGCTGCTGCAGCAATTTGCTGCTGCTCTCTTCTCCCCAATTTTTTCAATCCTCTCCCTCTCCAGACTCTCCGGGGGCCTCGGATTCGCTGCTGCTGCTGCTGCGGCAGCAGCCCTCCCTGCCGAAGACCCTGGGGTAAGCGGGACCTGCTGCACTTGCTGCTGCTGCTGCTGCTGCTCCCCAACTTTGCAACATCTTGCTGCAGCGCATCTCAAGGGGCTCAAGACTTCTTCCTCGCCTTCATAACTAAAGCCCATTCACAAGGAGCTCGTGGCTGCTGGTCCGCGAGGACTCTGGTGACTTCTGCTGCAGCAGCAGCAACCTTGCTGGGTGAGCGCTTCTGTCGCAGGTCTGCTGCTGCTGCTGCTGCTGCTGCTGTAGCTAGCTGCTCGTGTATCAGCTTCTGCCCCTGCTGCTCCAAGTGACTAATTTCTTGCACTTGTGTCTCCGCTGCGCCTTAGGCAGGAGCCGCATAGAGGCTTTGGACGTGGTGCTGGCAGCAACTGCGTGTGGCTTCGCTGCTGCTGCAGCAGCAGCAGCAGCAGGCGACTGCAGCAGCAGCAGTTCGCTGCTGGTCGACGCCCCGTCTGCGGCCGATGATGAGTGAGAATTAGCGCAGTTTTGTTCGAATTAATTATTAAAAAAGTTATTTTAAAAAGAATAATTAATTCCTCTTCAGCGAAGCCAGCCTGCTGGCGTTCAGCGCCGAAGACCCAGACTTCCTGGCGCGAATGCTGCTGGCTTTCCTCACCAACTCCGCGGAAGATATTTCGAAAAAACGCATGCAGAATAATTAACTTGAATTAAAAGTTAATTCAATTTGTTCCAATTAGTTGATAACTCACCTCAAGTTCTCCGGAACTATTCATAAAAACGGACTTTCCCGAAGATTCCGCCCGATTCGCCTTTTCCGGCGCTCTGCTGCTGCTGCTGCTGCTGCAGCTGGCAGCACTTACCTTGTCTTGATTTTATTTTGCGTTTCTGCAATGTCTGTGGCTTCTTGGGACTCTCCGGCATGTGCGCAGCAGCACATGGCGCGCGTGGCTTGCTGCCCAGCAGCAGACGCAAACAGGCCGGCCGCAGCAAACAGCGGGCTCACAGCCACTGCTGCTGCTGCTGCTGCTGCTGCGCTGCGCTGCGCTGCGCTGCGCTGCGCTGCGCTGCGCTGCGCTGCGCTGCGCTGCGCTGTGAGAGCTCGGGGTCTCCGCGTGTTCCTCTACCTCCCGTCTCGCCGCCCGGCGCCTGCCTCGCAGCAGCAGCAGCAGCAGCAGCAGCTGCTGCTGCTGCTGCTGCCGGCGCTGCAGCAGCCATCCTCAGCTTGCTGCTGAGGGCCCCGCCGGCAAACGGCGGCTGCCCTTTCCTCTCCGAATTCCCCGCGGAGGCAGCGGGGGCTTCGGGCGAGGCTCCAGGCGAAAGCGCGGCCTGATTGGCAGCAGCAGCAGCAGCAGCAGCAGCAGCAGCAGCAACAGCAGCAGCAACAGATGAAGAGAGCTGAGGCGGTGCAGGCAGGCACCTTGGACTGTACGTGCACCGGAGTTCCCGCATGCAGACACCCCACGCCCACCCACAGAGGCCGCATGCACTGGCCCCCACTGAGGCCACCTGCTGCTGCTGCTGCTGCTGCACCTATTTACTTGGATACTATCTCGCCAGCCGGCTCTAGATCTGATCTGCAGCAACAAACGCAGCAACTGATTTCAGGCGCCGCTGCGCGGCCAGGCACATCCAGGTGTACGTACACCGCAGCCCACGCATGCAGACACCCGCAGGCCCCGCAGCCCCGCGCCCCCTAGGGCCACATGCTGCTGCTGCTGCTGCTGCTGCAGCAGCAGCGGCAGCATTCTTCCTGTTCAAAGGCTCGCCAGATGCAAGAGAAGAATTAAACTGAGACGAAAGAGCTGCGTCGGGCATTTGCAGCAGCAGCAAAAGTGAAAGCCTCATGCAGCCGCAGCAACTGCGGGAGAAGCAGCTGCAGCAAACACCAATGAAGAGGAAGTAACTTTGCTGCTGCAGCACAGGAATGAAATAAACAACTCAAGAAGATCCAGAAGTTTTGTGCAAAACCCACTCGGCAGAAGAAGGGCGGGAGCAGCAGGTGCTGGCCTGCAGCGGGGGGGCCTCAATCGCCAGTCTGACGGGCTTCTGCTGCTGCTGCTGCTTCTGCTGCTGCTGCTGCTGCTGCTGCTGCTTTTCTGCGCAGTCGCGCTGCAGGCATGTGGCTGCCGCGGGCAGCGCTGTCTCCAGCGAACAGCGCCTGGCCTTCAGTGCGAAATTGAGCATAAATTGTAATGAGTACTTTGGGCTGTTTGGGCGGCCGGTGCTGCTGCTCCTGCTGCTGCTCCTGCTGCTGCTGGGGTGTCCAGACACCCCGGCGCAGGGCAGCAGCGGCGCTGCTGCAGCCAGAAAGGCCGGCTGTGGGTCCCCACAGGGCTTTGCGGGGAGGCTGCAGGGGACTGCAGCAGGGGCTGCGCAGCAGCAGCAGCAAGGGGCTTCTTTGTGGGCCCTCGTTGCTGCAGCAAGATCTGCAGCAGCTTCCGTCTCCCGCGTTCGCGGCGAGGGCGGCAGGCCGGACTCCATTGAGGCAGCTCTTTAGCTCTATTTATTTCTAAAATGTTCTTTTAAATGCCAAAATGTAATTTTGAAACTAATTAGCCCGGCACACCGGCTGCGGCCCGCGCGGCCAAGCCCTGCAGCAGCCCTCGTCTCTGGCGCTGCAGCAAGCCTGCTGCAGCAGCAGCTGCTAATACACTGCGCTGCTGCTGCTTTTATTCGACACACTTTTATTTATTTTGCAAAATAATTTGCAATTTGAAAGACACAAGCTTTTAAAATTAGCAGGACTCGCCGGTAAAGTTTGCGCTGCAGATGGCACACTGCTGCTGCTGGCTCGCAGTTTCTGAAAATCTGTATCTGCACTCCTCAGGCTCGCTTTTAATTGAAAACGTTCGAAATATTTAATAAATTTATTTCCAAGCTAGCCAAATTGCGCTTCTTGCGGTTAGTTTCGCTCAAGTGCTGCTGCTGGCGGTGGACCGAGAGGGTGACCACTGGTCCTTGCACCGCCACTTCTGCATTGGGACTAATTTAACTAGCAATCTACTTCGAACTGAACATTAATCAATTCAAAAAGGTACGAAGAATTAATTATTTGCTTCTTTTTTGTCTGAGGCGCAGCCCTCTGCGCAAGCCGCCCCTGTCCAGTGGTCCTCAAGTTGACCACTGCCGCACAGGCTGCCTAGGAAGTCTGGAGTTCGTGGGCGAGTCTAGCTGCAAATTGTGGCCTGTTGAAGCACAAAAAAGAAATAAAATAAGCATATTGTTCGATTTCTTATTAATATATTACAATATAGGTCATTCTTTATTGCCGTTTACTGTGACCCCCGTTTTCTCTGCTGTTCTGTCTCGCTGCATTCGCGCAGCCCCGAATTTCCTTATTCCTTCTCATTATTTGCTGGTTTTTAACTTTCAATTACTTCAATTTTCATTTAAAATTACTTTTTATCTCTTTATTTATCGTTTTAATTGATCTTTCCCCCTAAAAATCCCGGCAGCAGCAGCACCACCACCTCACTGGCCCCAGCCTCAGATGAACTTGAATCGTAAGATCGCGGGAATGCACGCCAGCGGGGACCACCTTTGCCATCATTTCAAGTTTCCTGGATCTAAAAACAAAACAATTAAAATTATATTTCAATTTATTTAATTAATTGATTAGTTTGGCGCTGTCTGGACTCTCGCCGCCGCGCAGACCCAAGCTGCAACTCCACATGCAGCGCTGGCTCCGGTGCGATCCTGGCTTTCGTCTTTTCGGCTACTGCAAATTGAAGCTTGGGCTTCCTAATTGCCAAATTAAAGTCATTTAAATAACCAATATTTCAATTTGAATTTATATTTATTTATTTAACTTATTTCTTTGTCTTGGCTCCACTTTTCGTAGAAATCCCTTGCCAGTCGTGTGGGTCTGCTGTACGCTGCAGCTGCCACTGCTTACGCCTCACTAAATGCTTCATCTCTTTGATCAGCCCCCAAATAATAATTTAAAATGAATTAATTATTTGTGGGAAATCAGAAAGTGGAAACCGGAGCTGATCTCCAACTGCGCGCTTCGCATGTTGCTGCAGAAACGCGAGATACAGCACCTTCTTGCTTTCCCACGCTTTAATGGAACTTGATTTTACCAAAAAAAAATATATTTTACTTCTTAACTTTGGCCTAGTTTGTATTTAACTGAATTTAATTCCACTTTAAAGTATATTTTACCTGTTTCCGTTGGCCCAGCAATGTTGAACTGGAAACTGCTCATTTAACGCGGTTTCTTCGTTTCTTCTGGCTTACCATGCTTTAAATTGATTTGTTATTGCAAATTAAATATGTATTTTCCATTTTGTTTCATTCATTTGTCCCATTTATTCATTTTATTCCATTTTTTCGTGCCATCTGCAGCAGCAGGCGCTGCAGTTCAAGATTTGTTTCTGCACATTTCAAGTCTCAAGAGCCCCCCGTTTCGCCATTAGGACTTTATGATTTCTATTTTATTTTATTTTCTTTTTTGTTTTATTTTATTTTATTTCATTTTATTTTGTCTTATTTTATTTTGTTTCATATTTTTGTTGTTATTAATTCAAAATTGCCGACACAGGAATTATTTTCGTTTCCAGAGAGTTCAAATTGGCCTGCAGCCACTCGAGCAGCATTTCAATTTCAGCATTTCCAGTTTTTTGTCAGTTTTGAGAACAAATTTAAATTGAATTTTAATTTAAATTTGAATAAATCAAAACTAAAATTCCCAAAATAAAAAAGAAATATGAATTTCCATTTCTTTTGGATTTCCACAGTTGGCTCGAGTGGAATATGAACATGAATTTTCTTTTCATTTTGAATCATGAAGCTTCTGAATTCATGAAAATGAATTTCGGATTTCTTTTGATCTTCAACAATGTCTGAAATGAAATATGAATCTTAAATCTTTTTTAAATTAACAAGTTTTAAATTTCCTTTTTTAAATTAATAGGTGCCTGAATTTGAACATAAATATGAATTGAACTGTAATTCTGAATTCTAGAAGTGCACGGAGTGAAATATAAATATGAAATGGCGTTTTCTTCGGTTAATTGTTTCTCTACTTTATTAAAAGATTTAATTCTTTTGAAAATTCAAAAATTAAAACTGAAAAGAAAAAATGTTGCAAAAAAATTTCAACACCAGAAAGCCACGGGTTTCGGCTTTTGAAACAGCAGGCATGAAGTCTTCAGATATTACATGTAAATGTAAATATAAATACAAATATAAATATAAATATAAATATAAATACAGCTATAAATATAAATACAAATATAAATATAAATATAAATACAAATATTTATTGAAGTATTGAAATACACATATGGATACATATATATATATTATATAGAAGTGCGGGGCAAGCGAACGAAGACAGCCAAATCTGGATGGAAACTTGAACAAAAAGATCAAATTGCACCTAAAGAAGCACAAAATATATTTGTTTACAAATATTGAACATTTTATTTATCTTTATAAACTAAAATGTGGAAAAAATGCAAAAAAGTTAAGTGAATCTTTCTTATTTTTTGCTGCTGCAGCAGCCTTTCTAAGAAATCCAGCACGCCGTGGGCTTCTTTGCTTTTATTTCTAGCATTTCTCATTTGCAAAAAGACAGAAATGAATTTTTAAATTAATCCAAATGTGCATGCATGCATGCGCGCATGCATGCGTTTCTATTTCATGCTAATAGCTAGTATTTCCTTGTTGCAATTTCCTTTTTGCAACACAAAAAATAAAAGTTTCTGCAGTTTCTTCTTTGCAAAGGCCCCTGGAGTGTATGTACACCCCAGATCTCGTGTTCGACGCTCCTTTTCAATTCGCTTTATTTCGTTTTGGCGAGCAGCCACAGCTCGCAGAGGTACTCAGAAAACGCAAAAAACAGTAATTGAAAGAAATATAAAGCTAAAAATAAAACAAGTCCTAAACTCTAAACCCTAAACCCTAAACCCTAAACCCTAAACGCAGCGAGGCCTCGGGGGCCCCAGGAGGGCCCCAGTGCAGCTTGCAAGCAGATCTTCGCATGATTTATCAATTCATTTTGTCTTACATTAATTAATTAATGTAAGTTAGTTAATTTATTTATTTATTTTATTTATTTATTTATTTTTTGTTTTTTTCTAATCCAGGCCTTGGCGGAAGTTCTCGCTGGCGGTACACAACTGCGCGTTTCAGCCTGTCACCATCGACAGCAGTGCCGCTAAACCCTAAACGCAAAACCCTAAACCCTCAACCCTAAACCCTAAACCCTAAACCCTAAACCCTAGATGCTAAAGAGTGAGCTGTAGATCCTGGAGAGTTGCTGCTGGCGCATATGTGTGGATCTGAATATCTAAACCCTAAACCCTAATCTCTGGGGGTTTTGTATTTGGAGGCAAACCTGCATGGGGGGGCGATCTGCAGCAGCAGCAGCTGCTGCTGCTGCTGCTGCTCAGCTGCCTGCCGACGCTGCAGCAGGAGCTCTGACTGCTGCGTGGCCTCCTGTGTCAGCGGCAGCAGCAGCAGGGTCTGCGGCAGCTGGGCGCGGCTGCTGCTGCCTGCGGTACGGATTTGCTGCTGCTGCCAACATGCAGCCTCAAGCGTTTCATGCTGCTGCTGCTGCTGCTGCTGTTGCTGCTGCTGCTGCTCTTCGTGAACGCCCTATTTTGCACAGAAGCAAGCAAGGGAGAGCCACAAGCGGGCTTCTGCTGCAGCAGCAGCAGCACCGCCAATATCTGCAGCTGATACAGCAGCAACAGCAGCGTCATTTAAACTTTGGCCTCTTGAGAATATCAAGCAGCAGCAGCAACAACTCTAGCAGCAGCAGCAGCATCAGCAGAGCCAACCTCTGCAGCAGCAGCAGCAGCAGCAGAGTCAACCCGAGCAGCAGCAGCAGCAGCAGTAGCAACAGCAGCAGAGCCAGCCTGAACAGCAGCAGCAGCAGCAGCCTCAGCGGGGGCAGCAGCAGCAGCAGCGGCAGCAGCAGACCGACTGCAGCAGCACTGGCTTTAAACTCTTTGCTGCTGAACATACACGAAATAGCAGAGGCGCCCCCAGGCCGTTTGAGTGCAGCAGCAAAAGCAGCAGCAGCGCAGCAGCAACTTGATTATGTACGGAAGGGGATTAAGGTTTCTTCGACAGCACTGCTTTTAGGGTTTAGGGTTTAGGGTTTAGGGTTTGGGGTTTGCAGCTGCCAGCTGCTGCGTGTGTTGTCAGCTACACAGGCTCCTGCCTTCAAAGGCTATTGTCTTGCTGCTGTTGCTGCAGCAGAGCAGCAGCTGCGCTGCAGCTGAAGTGCAGATCAGACCTATACAACAGCAGCAGCAGCAGCAGCAGCAGCAAGCTTGGCGCATTCCTGTTGCTGCTGCTGCTTTGCTGCAGGACTTTTGGGCCGCAATATGCAGACGCGCCGTTTCACTGGAAAAAAAGCTGCGGCTCTCCGATGCTGCTTTGCTGCTGTCTGCTGCTGCTGCTACGCAGCGGCAGCTGCAGCAGCTGCAGCAGCCGCAGCAGCAGCAACTCAAGCAGCAGCTGCTAGCGCAGCACAGCCGCTTGGTTCAGACGGCAACAACAGCGCTCTCACGGGGCCTCCTGCGGCAGCAGCAGCAAGCTGCTGCTGCCAAGCAGAAGCAGCAGCAGCAGCAGCAGCAGGCGCAGCAACGTCTGACTGTGCAGCAGGAGCAGCACGAGCAAGAGCAGCAGCAGCAGCAGCAGCAACATGGGCTAACGGCCAGCCTCCTCACCTCCGCCTTGCATGCGTTTGCTGCACTGAAGCTGCAGCAGGTGCTGCTGTTGCAGCAGCTTGTTGCTGCTGCAGTCTCTCTGCAGCTGCAGAACTTCAGCGGATATGACTTGGCGGCTTTCTGCTCAGCGCTGCTGGCAGCAGCGCAGCAGCAGCTGCTGCAGCAGACGCAGCAGCAGCAGCTGTTTGCCCCTGTCGCCGCGCAGCTGGAGGCCCTGATACTGCAGCAGCTGCCAGCTTCCAATGCTGCAGCAGAGCGGAGGAACGCTGCTTTGCTGCAGCAGCTGCAGCGGCAGCTGCAGCAGCAGCAGCAGCAAGCGCAGCAGCAGCAGCAGCAAGCGCAGCAGCAGCCGGCGGGCGTCGCTGCAGCGCAGCACGCCGCACATCGCCTGCAGCAGCTGCTGCTACAGAAGCCGCAGCAACTAGCTGCTACCTGGCAACAGCAGCCGCATCGCCAGCAGCTAAATTTGTGCATTTTGCTGCGGCTTTGCGTAGAGCTGCAGATACACCGGAGGCAGCAGCTGCTGCTGCCGCTGCTGCTGCATGCAGCAGTGCTGCAGCTGGAGGCAGCGCGGCTGCAGCTGTGTCTGGCGGGGCTTGAGCCCCTGCAGCAGGAGCAGCAACCTGCTGCAGAAGGTGCTGCTACTGCTGCCACTGCTGCTGCTCCAGCTGCTGCTGCTGCTACTGCTGCTGCTGATCGACGTTTCGTCTTTTCACTAAATCTCTCCAGCTGCCGCGACCTCGCCAGCCTTTGCTCGAGCCTGCAGCTGCTTGACCAGCAGCAGGTAGAAGCCACCAACTCCGGGCTGCTCCAGCAGCAGCAGCAGCAGCAACAGCTGCTGCAGCAAACGGTAGCTGCACCCTCGTTGATTGTCTCGCTGCTGCTGCACCAAGTTGCCTGGCAGGGCCTTTGCGCGCCAGTCTGTCTTTCAGCTCTTTCTAAAGCTGTCCCAGCAGCAGCAGCAGCAGCAGCAACAACAACAACAACAGCAGCAGCAGCACCGGCAGCACCAGTAGCAGCACCAGCAACAGCCACAGAGGCCGCAACATCACCGGCAGAATCGGTCGTAGCGGCTGCCGCGGCTGCTGCAGCAAAACCAGCAGCACCTGTTAGTAAGCAGCAGCCCATAGAACGTCTGCTGCTCCTTGCTGCTGATCACGCGGCCCTGCTGCTTATTCTTAGCAGCAGCAGCAGCAGCAGTAGTAGCAGCAGCAAGGGCAGTGACGGCAGTCACCATGAATTGGTTTCAGCTGCTCATATCGCCAGCTGCAGCAGCAAAGTACTTAGACACACCGACGGGGAGGGAACTGCAGCAGCAGCAGCCTCAGCAGCAGCAGCAGCAACAGCAGCCGAAGCAGCGCCAACAGCTGTGAGGCTGCTTCCTCTGGCTGCGCTGCTGCAGCTGCAGCTGCAGCAGCACAAGGCAACCTCATCGGCGGACCAGATCTCCATGTGCTGCCGGTTCCTCTCGCAAACTGCAGCAGACGCTGCAGCAACAGCAGCAGCAGAAGCAGCAGCAGCAGCAGAAGCAGATGCACCAGCAGCGACAGCAGCAACAGCAGCAGCAACGGCAGCAACAGCAACCGGAAAACCTGGGAAAGCAGCACCAGCAGAGGTAGCAAAATCCGCCGCCACCCCCGCAGCAGCTGCAGCGCTTATGCCTGGAAATCGTGATGCTGCTGCTGCTGCTGCTGCTGCTGCTTCCTTCCTCTGTTTGTCCGTACACTCCGTCACTTCTGCCTTGTGCGGCAAGCTGCAGCAGCTGCAGCTGTCTCACATTCTTGCCTGCCTTCCAGCAGTTGCAAAGCTACACAAAGCGCTTTTGCTGCCGCAGCAACAGCAACAGCAGCAGCAGCAGCAGCAGCAGGAGAGTCCGCAGCAGCTGGCGGGCATGCTTGAAGACCCTGAGCTGCGCATGCACTGCCTGCAGCAGCTGCAGCAGACGGCACAGCAGCTGTGTACAAGGTTTTGCAAGCTTGTGCAGCAGCACCAGCTGCAGCAGGAGCAGGAGCAGCAGCAATGGGGAGCAGCAGACTGGGCATGCACACAAAATGGGAGCAGCAGCACAGGGGGACCCCCAGCGCTTTCTTTGCTGCTGCGCCTTCAAAGCAGCCTTGTGGCTGCTGTTGCTGCGGTGGAGCAGACCATACCCGCTTCTGCTGCTGCTGCTGCTGCTGTTGCTGCTGCCACCCGTTTGTTGCTGCAGCCTCAGGCGGAGCAGCAGGGCCCGTCTGCTGCTGCTCTCTCCCTGCAGCAATGCAGTCTCCTGCTGCGGGCCCTTGCCAAGTGTGTGAGCTGTCATGCTGCTGCTGCGTTTGCTGCTTCTTCTGGTGCTGTTATCGCTGCTTTCCTTGCTTCTGTATTGGCTGCTCCTGTCGCTGCAGCTGCCGCTGCTTTTGCTGCTGCTGCTGCTGCTGCTCACTCCAGTCTATGTGGCCGTGACTGGAGCAATGAAGAAGCAACAGCACCAGCAGTTTTACGAGCAGCAGTGCATGCAGCTGCTGCTGCAGCAGCTGCGGCCTGAAGCAGCAGCAGCAGCAGCAGCACGCTGCTGCAGCGGCTTCGGTGCCACGCAACAGCAGCACCAGCAGGTGTTGCTTTTGCTGCTGCCTTAGCCGTGCTCCCAATTCACTGCTGCTGCGGCTGTGCATGCAGACTTCGACTGCGAGACCAAGAAATCCTTGAAGTTATTTGCAATCGGATAGCGGAGCTTATACAGCAGCAGCAGCAGCAGCAGCAGAAAGGGGCTCTGGTGCTGTCTGGGCAGCAGCTTGGACAGCTGCTGCTGAGTCTGGCGCAGCTGTCCTTCACTCCTGTGCACCTGCAGCAATCCAGAGGTGTACATACACTGCAACAAAAAGCAACAGCAGCTAGGCTGTTCGATTTGCTGCTGGCGCTGCAGCAGCAGCCGCAGCAGCAGCAGCTGCTGCTGCACAGCATGGGGCTCCAAAGCGCAGCAAACTGCCTGCATGCACTTTCCTTGTGTGACTTCTCTTTCAAGCTTCCTCGAGGCCCCTCTGGGGGCCCCTCTGGGGGCCCCCCTGGGGGCCCCGCCTTGCAGGATGCCACGGGGCAGGTGGAAGGCAAAACAGCTGTTGCTGCATTTCTGGATTTGCTGCTGAGTGTTGTTCGAATGCACCTGCAGCCGCTGCTGCTGCAGCAGCAGCGGCAGCGGCAGCAGCAGCAGCTGCAGCAGCAGCAGCTTCAGCAGCAAGCGGCTGAGGATGAAGGAGGTGGGTGGATCGGACTGGCCGAGACTTTGAAGCAGCTGCCAGCAGCGCAGCAGCAGCTAACAGCAGCAGCAGCAGCAATAGCAGCAGCACGCCACGCCCCTCTCTGTGCCTCTCTTCAGCCCCACAACAAGGCCTTTCTAAGGGCGCTGCAGCAGCAAGTCTGCTGCATTCTGCCAGACACTCAACTAAGCAGCAGCAGCAGCAGCAGCAGCAGCAAAAGTCACTCGTGGATGGCAGGAAGCCACAGCGAAACTCTTCCGGAGGCCGGAGTGTCTGTACACCTGGCGAGCTCAGGTCGGTTTTCGACCCTAGTGAGGGTGACGCGGAAATCTCCGCAGTTTAGGGTTTAGGGTTTGGGGTTTAGGGTTTAGGGTTTAGGGTTTAGGGTTGAGGCTGTACGTGCAGCACTTGGGTTTTGGGGTTTAGAGCCAAAGGCTCAGGCCCTATGGTTGAAGTTTAAAGGCTCAATGCACAGCAACTTATGCAGCAGCAGCAACAACAGCAACAGCAGCAGCAGCAACAGCAGCAGCAGCAACAGGCTGTTTGGAGGTTGCGTGGCGTTTATTTACTGCAGCGCTGCACAGAAGCGTATTTGCTGCTGCCTCAAGGGCCCTCTCTCCTGCACAACTTCGCGTCGAAGTGAGCACAGCAGCAGCAGCAGCAGCAGTAGCAGCAGCAGCAGCAGTAGCAGCAAGAGCAGCAGTAGCAGCAGTAGCAGCAGTAGCAGCAGCAGCAACTGCTGTTGCGTGTTTGCCCTGTTCTGCAGACGCCACTCACCTTTGGTGGCTACTCCTTAGACCTGCTCGCGGAGCTGCCTGGAGGAACTGTAAACCCGAAACCCTAAACCCTAAACCCTAAACCCTTAATCTTACCCTTCCCTGTGCCGATGCTCCTCGCACGCCTACCTATTAGACAGCAGCTGATGCTCAGGCTAGTATATTTTAGAGCAAAGCGCTTCGGGTTTAGGGTTTAGGGTTTAGGGTTTAGGGTTTAGGACCTGGGGTTTAGGGTTTAGGGTTTACGGGTTAGGGTTTAGGGTTTAGAGTTTAGGGCGGTTGCGCGCTGCAGCTTGTGGCGATCGAGGCCGACGGCAGCTCTCACTTCTTAGCGGACTGCAGCACGCCGCAGCCCCAGACCCTGCGGCAGCAGCAGCAGCAGCAGCAGCAGCAGCAGCAGCGGGAACCTGAGCTGTGGGCCACAGACAGCTGCGGCTTTGTTTACAACAGCAGCAGCTTGCTGAAGCGCCGCCTTTTAAAGGAAAGACAAATTGCGGTGGTTTCCGTTTCTGCAGCAGAATGGAAAGCAGCAGTAAGGCAGCAGCAGCAGCAGCAGCAGCAGCAGTGACACCGGTAGCAGCAGCAGCAGTCGCAGCGGTGCTAGCAGCAGCAGCAGCAGTGGCACCGGTGGCAGCAGCAGCAGTCGCAGCGGTGCTAGCAGCAGCAGCAGCACTGGCACCAGTAGCAGCAGCAGCAGTTGCAGTGGCAGTAGGAGCAGCAGTAGTACTGGTAACAGCAGTAGCAGCAGTGGTGCTAATAGCAGCAACAGCAGCAGCAGCAGCACCTGGAGCTGCAGCGGCAGCAGTACTAGCTGCAGCAGTAACAGCAGGCAGCAGCAGTTTTAGAAAGCAGCAGCAGGAGCAGCAGAGTTAGCAAGTAGCAGCTGCAGCAGCAGAGTTAAAAAGTAGCAGCAGCAGCAGCAGCAGCAGCAGATTTGAAGAAGGGTTTGCTGCCTCGCGTGATGCGTGCATGCGCAGGGGCCCTCGTGTGCAGCAAAAGATTTACTTTTAAAATCAAAAATGAAAAAGTCAGTTGGCAGCTGCTTCCATACAGGTGTACAGACACCCGAACCGCAGCCGCTAGCTAGCCAGAGCTGCAGCAGCTAGCTGCAGCTACCTGCAGCAATTTGCTGCAGTTACCTGCAGCAGCTTGCTGCGGCTACCTGCAGCAGCTTGCTGCAGCTACCTGCAGCAGCTTGCTGCAGCTACCTGCAGCAGCTTGCTACAGCTACCTGCAGCAGCTTGCTGCGGCTACCAGCAGCAGCTTGCTGCAGCTACCTGCAGCAACTTGCTGCGGCTACCTGCAGCAGCTTGCTGCGGCTACCTGCAGCAGCTTGCTGCGGCTACCTGCAGCAGCTTGCTGCGGCTACCTGCAGCAGCTCGCTGCAGTCACCTGCAGCAAGCCGAGCTGTAGCTAATTAGGGCTAGCTGTAGCTAGCTCTGGCTAGCTGCAGCTAGCAGTGGCTGGCCGTAGCTAGCTGTGGCTGGCTGTAGCTAGTTGTAGCTAGCTATGGCTAGCTGTAACACCCTGTGGCTGGCCCTAGCTAGCTGTGGCTAGCCGTGGCCAGCTGTGGCTAGCTGCTGCAGCTAGCTGTGGCCAGCCGCCGCAGCTAGCTGTGGCTAGCTCTAGCTAGCTGTGGCTAGCTGCTGCAGCCAGCTGTGGCTAGCTGCTGCAGCCAGCTTTGGCAATTGTTGGCCAGCAGCTTTAGAGCATTTTGACAACTTGGCAGCCAGGCTTTCCGGTTTGAAGTGTACGTACACCTGAGCTCTTGCGGTGAAGTGCGGAGAGAAGGCTCAAAGTGCCAAATAAATATAAAATAAATAAATAATAAAATATAAAAAAATACATAAATAATAAACAACAAATAGATAAATAATCGGCTTTTATTTATTTGTTTGCATGCACACCATTAAGCCCCAAAAGAAGCAACTGTTGGCGGCTCCGGGCCGCCGCCGAGGTGTACGTACACCTCAAACCGCAGACAGCTAGCACGCAGCAGCAAAAAGGAGGCTCGCGCTGCTGCTGCCGCTGCAGCAGCAGCAGCTGCTGCTGCTGCTGCAGCACGCGGCAGCGCACGCAGCAGCGCACGCAGCACCAGCTGCTGAAGCACAAGCTGTACAGACAGCTGCGGTTGCTACAGTAGTTGCTGCAGCGGTAGTTGCTGCAGCAGTAGTTGCTGCAGCAGCAGTTGCTGCAGCAGCAGAAGCTGCTGCAGCGGCACTTTGCGGTGTTTTTACAGTAAACTGTACACACTTAACTGTGAACATTTCAGCAAAAATCAGGTTTATGCACGAGCGGCAGCAGCAGCAGCAGCAGCTCCTGCAGCAGCAGCTCCTGCTGCTGCGAGACCGTTATTTCGGCAGCTGCATCAAGAGCTCCCTGAGGTCCTTCGCTGCTCCAGGCTGCTGCTGCTGCCACAGCAGCAGCGGCTGCTCCTCCTGCGACAGCTGCCAGCGCCGGGGAACTGAACATGGGCGCAGCAGCAGCTGCTGCAGCTGCTGCAGCAGCACGAGCTGCTGCAGCACGCGCTGCTGCAGCACGGCTCGCGCCCGGCGCTGCAGGCCGCCCCGCGACTCCCGCTGCTGCAGCAGCAGGCCCACCCCTCCCCGCAGCAGCAGCAGCAGCAGCAGCAGCAGCAGTCAGGAGAGGTCGAGCTCTCCGTCGTCGCCGACTGCAGGCTGCATGTGTGCAGCCCCGGCAATTTGCTGCTGCTGCTGCTGCTGCTGCGCAATTTGCTGCTTGGCTTTGAGGAGAAAGTGGATTCTCCAGGGGCTGAGTCTGGAGACTTTGTCGAAGTCCTCAACAGCAGCAGCAAACGCGTCGGGGTCTCTCTCTTCTGCTGCAGCAAGCAGCTGCTGCAGCAGCTGCTGCTCCCTGCTGGCAGCAAAGTGCGCGTTGCACTCCCTGTAGCGAGCTAGCGCTAGCTGCAGGTCCACCAGGGCCCCCAGCTCTTCCCGGGGAGCAGCAAGCAGCAGCAGCAAAGAATTAAAAAACAAATCTTTTGCTCCGTACTGCAGCAAGTTGTTTTGCGAGGCTTTGTAGCCCTCCGTTTCGAAGATCTTTGCTGCCTTTTCCAGCGTCGCAGCAGCAGCAGCAGCAGCAGCAGGCGCAGCAGCAGCAGCGCCCGCGCCCCCCCCAGCAGCAGCAGCAGCAGCAGCAGCAGCAGCAGGGGCCTCCCCGCCCCACACCACCAACTCCGCGTACTTGCAAATGCAGTGGGAGTATTGAGTTTTGCTGAATTCGTCGGAGTCGAAGAGATCAGCAGCAGCAAGAAAGTTTGCTGCTGCTGCTGCTCGGTCTCCTGCTGCTTCCCAGTCCTCAGCCAGCTGCCGGTACACTTTTGCTGCTGCAGCAATTCGGTTTGCTGCCAGCAGCAACTTTATTCCCTTCTCAAACACAGGAGCAGCAGCAGCAAGTGAGTACCGCCGCACGCAGTTCCCAGCCTCTATGTACATCGAAGCCTCTGCGCAAACAACAAACCCTAAACCCTAAACCCTAAACCCTAAACCCTAAACCCTAGGCCACGAACCCTGCGCCGCCTCAACAGCGAACAGCCAAACCCGAGGACCCCACGCTGGTACAGCCTTCCGCCCCCTAAACCCTAAACCTAAACCCTAAACCCTAAACCCTAAACCCTAAACCCTAAACCCTAGAAACTGACCTGTGTGTGTGTCTTTGGCCTTCTGTGCTGCTTCTGCTGCTTTGATGAAGCAGGAAGAAGCCTCTGGGAACAGCCGCGCCAGTTTGTACTTCTAAATGCAGGAAACAAAACATATTAATTAATTAAAAATTATATTAATTAATTAATTAATTAAAATTAAATTAATTAATTAATTAAAAATTAAAAATTAAATAAATTGCATGTTGTGTTTTATCTAGCTGCTTCTTGTTGCGTTGCTAGACCAGGAAAAAGCCGGGGACGAGTAAAGCAAACGCAGCCACAGCCGCGAGTGCAGCAGCAGCAGCAGCAGCAGCAGCAGCAGCAGCAGCAGCAGCAGCAGCAGCAGCAGCAGCAGCAGCAGCAGCAGCAGCAGCAGCAGCAGCAGCAGCAGCAGCAGCAGCAGCAGCAGCAGCAGCAGCAGCAGCAGCAGCAGCAGCAGCAGCAGCAGCAGCAGCAGCAGCAGCAGCAGCAGCAGCAGCAGCAGCAGCAGCAAAGGCAGCAGCAGCAGCAACGGCAAAGGCTTCGTGGCTCCTTTCGCGCTTTTGCTGCTGCGTCGCTGGGGGCGCTCTCAGGATGTTTCCTTTGTGCAAAGAAACTGCAACAGGATGCTGCTGCTGCTGCTGCTGCTGCTGCTGCTCGAAATGCTACTGCTGCTGCTGCTGCCCCTGAAAATGCTACTGCTGCTGCCGCTGCTGGAAACACTGCAGCTTGTACTGCTGCTGCTACAATTAGAAACACTGCTGCTGCTGCTGCTGCTACACCTAGAAGCACTGCTACCGCTGCTGCCGCTGCCGCTGCTGCTGCTACCGCTGCTGCTACCGCTGCTGCTGCTGCTGCTGCTGCTGCTGCTGCTCACCTCCGCCATGGCCTTGAGCATCTTGGAAGAAACCACGGAAGACACGAAAAGTTGTTTTTCTTTTTTTATATTTTGGGCGGCGCGCAAATCCATCAAATAGGCGGCCAGCAGCACCCCCAGTTCGTCCCCAGTGAACTGGTACCACTCCCCGCTGCACCCCAAACCCTAAACCCTAAACCCTAAACCCTAA